CTAATACTATACTGTCCTAGTAGAACAGTTTCAGTTAATATATTCTTCAGAGAGGGGAGGGATAGCTCAGTGGTTTGAGCATTGGCCTGTTAACCCCAGGGTTGTGAGTTCAATTCTTCAGGGGGCCATTTAGGAATCTGGGGATTGGTCCTGCTTTGAGCAGGGGGTTAGACTAGATGACCGCCTGAGGTCCCTTCCAACCCTGATACTCTATGATTCTTGTATAAATGGCCCAGCGATGAAGCGAAATCTCAAAAAGAAATTGCCTTTCTAAGCATAAGCTATTTATTGTACAATCTGTTTCACTAAGGCCAGTGCGTGCAGCTGTGCAGCTAGATAACATCGCAGAGATAATGGGGTTATATTTGGATGAAGCATAACAGCGCAATGTGGCTTGATAAGTACATTACAGAGGGCAAAGGGCCTTTTGCAAAATAAGATAATTTGATCCTGCAACAAAGATATTTACACTTGTTATTCTCAAGGCAGCAGGCTCCTTCTGTTTGGTAGTCTGAGATACAACCATTTAGTGTGTTTATCAGATCCATTAGACTCAAAAGTCATTTTCTTTTTTCAGAAGAGCCCTAGCTAGCAAACTAGGCTGCCAGGTTGGAAACAAACAGCGTGTGGAAGATTTTGCAGATTGGAAAGAATCTCATGGCTCAGGAGGGAGTGGAGAGTTTGAGTTCAGGAGGAAGAGGCTAGCAAACGGGATGAAGACACTAGTTTAAAATCTAAACAGCTTCCTCTTATGACGCGTCTTTCAATAGCTCTTTTGGGTCATCACGTCAGAGCTAGCTCAATCCGTTTGCAATTCTGAGTTTTAAAACGGCTGGTTCCCCACGTTTGTTAATGTTGCGCACAGCCAGCACCTGCCCTTGTGCTCCAGCTAAGATTAGAATTGCTGGATTCTGGTCCCACCCCCACCACAGTCACTGGGCAAGTCATTTAGGGCTGGATTTCAGTGCTGCTGGGCACCTGTAGCTCCCACTGAAGCCACTGGGAGCTGTGGGCACGCAGCAGCTGTGAGAATCAGCCCTTCCCTTTTTAACCTGTCGGTAAATAACACCCCAGACAGAGACGTGTCTGATTTTGGACGATAAACCCTCTGAGCTGAAATACTAACAAGCTTTAAGGAGGCAAAAAAAAAAAGGGG